AGTTAAGTAAAATTTTCTACGTGAATTTTCTACGCAAACGGTTGCTCCTTTATTAAATAGAGAGACTTAATGCGTGAAAATGCTGTTTGGACTTCGTACATTAGGTAACACAACAAACCTTTTTGAAATAGTTATATTATCCAAATTTTATAGACATTTTTAAGAATTCAATACCTGCGTCAGAAGTTGACCATCCTTTAAAACGAAGAAACTACCAATTCACCATATGTTAGTTCCTAGTTGACCACTTATAGTAAAACCAAAAACACTAAAGGTGATTATTTTAATATCATTTATTTACAACGACTGTTACAAATTACAAGTAAAAGGACAAATGCAAATGAAGAAAAGTTAATTCCATATTAGAAATTGGAGGCATACAACTAACGCCAATGAAATAAATTGTTAATTTTTACGATAAACAATTTCATTCAGGTAAAAGTGTTTCGGAGCCGGATCGATAGATGATCTACCATGCCATTATCCAAAGATTATTACATTTAAAAACCTAATTTTTTATGTTTTCCTGAAAAATGGTGAACTACTGATACCAGGTATATTACTGGTGGCTTTACGCCGGTAAAACGTGGCCTTAAAATTGCCGGTACTACTAGGGTTAAGAAATGTATTGGAAGTAAATTGCACATCGTCGATCAAAATATCTGAAAACGATGAAAATTGTAGTTCAAGAACTTTATATATGTATGGCACTAAATAAATTATTTGTTGCTTTTTTTTTACAAAAATCAGCAAATAGAAACACGTAAAGTATGAAAAATATGGAATGTTTCGATATTATTATTAGATACTGAAAAATGTGACTATTTCACTATTTTAATGGAGGAAATTGGTATTACCAGCAAGTCATGTTCATGCCGTTGGTAGCAAATAAAATGAGATTGTTTTACAAAAACGTTCTCTGTGTTTAAATTTTGATTTAAGAACGCACAGAAACTTTTTCCAGTACCTAATAGCTTTCATCAAATGAAATAAACCATATATTTCAAATTAAATACAAATTATATAGTAGAAATAGTTTCATTATATGATGGAATTATTTTATACATAAGGGTACTGGTTCCATAGAATTTTTGTTTTATGTATAAAGGACAATGTTGAATATGTTATTAATTACTTCGTATATTATTAACCGAAACAATAAAAAACTGATACTCTCTAATGAAAAACTAGTTTACAAATCAGAATTTTTTAATAGCTAAATGGCTAGCACGAATTTAGATATACATAAATTTGACTACAAAATGGTCGTGATAAATACAAAAGTCGACTATAAAATATTTACAAATTGAAGATAAAACACAAAAGGAATACTGCACTTTTATAAATTATATCTACATAAGTTATTACCAAGTGTACTAGTTTAAGAGAAAACAAAGTTAAAGAAAATGGACAAAACTGTGAAGATCAAACCTATTTTTTATTTTTTTTCAAATACTTTGCACATGTTTGGTATAAATAGAACTATAATGTTGCAATCTATTTATCAGGTGTAGCTTGTAATTAATTGATCCTTTTCACTTTAATAGATAATTTAAAGTATTACGTTGCTTTCTAAGATTAGCGCCATATATTTACACTTGTGTTCGTCACTGTAGATGTAGATAATTGAAAGGTGAGATAAGAGGAGAGGAGAGGAGAATGCAAAGAAAAGCAGGATAGTCCGTTCTGGAGCTAGTGAACTTACTAATAAAGTTACTTTGTTAGTTTAACCGAAGATATT